CTTCACCGCCGTTATACCAACATATTGAAGTGTGCTTGTAGCGTTCCCGTACAATCACAGAATATTTCCACAGTGTGAGCCTAGTACTTAAAATCGCGACCCAATAGCTTCTGATAGCGACTTCCAATTAATAATTTCTCATTATTGCTCGAAATTTTTGGTTTTTGGCCGACTAATTCTGTCACCAACAACTGCTGTGCGTTCCGCAGAGATTATTTATGTTTTGACTCCAGTGGCTTAACTCGGAGAGCTAAAGTATGACAAGTACTAGTTCTAGATAAGATACAACCGAACTAGTCCTTATCCGCCACGAGTACTTCAGCTGTGAATGTATCAAAAATCGCTCATTAGAGGGGGGTATAAGGGTCAAAAGAAGATTCGGGGGCTGTGGACTGGAGATGACGAGAAGTGACAAAAGGCCTCTCGTGCAAACAGTTCTTTGTCGGTTTTATTGGCTCTAGTCCAATCAAGTGCGCTTCGCCTGTATTTCTGGAGAAGCTTAAGGCCGACTCACTACCTCTTTTGCGCACGACTAAGATCTGGAGAGGTGGCCTACTGCCTGTTGATGAGTCAAGACAACATAGGGGCTAAGAATAAGGTTTCTCAAATATGCCCTTAGTTGTTGTTCAACTTACCTTATAGCTCAAATGGCCTGACGTATGCAATCTGTCTTCTTGTGTCTGACTACTTACGGTGGATCTCAGTTGAGGGTGCTGGCATTCGGAAATGTTAGGAGGGCTCCTAGGCTCCAGGTGAAGTGCTTTGCCTGTAAAGAACTTCGGATCGCGGTGCGTAATGCTTGTGGCTGCAAGGTTGAATGTATCTCAACAGTATCCTAGGCGCCGTAGGCACAGCACTGAAACAAATCGAAAAAGTTAAAGCCAGCTTGTTTGGAAGAGATGCGGACTACGCCGAAGGTTTAGGGTGCACTTGTTTTCCGTGCTGAAGTTGCCCATGCAGCGTCCTAGATATATCTAGGCACAGATCAGTGTTGCCTGCACCCATATTTGTGCCCGGTGCACAAATATAGGTGCGGGCAACACTGATCTGTATGAATACCAAATTTGTAGGCAAGGGTCGCAGGCGCTACTTGAAGCCCCCTGCGTATTGAACTGGCCGCAAGTAGGGCATAAACGCTGCATATGAGGTGTCTGGAATCAGTGAGTAGTGGGAATTCATGCTCGGCGATGCAGTGGAGCCAAGGCTTTTCTTTGTTACAGTGCCTGGCCAGGATGATCACCGCTCCCCCTTTTCCCATATGATCAAACAGCTGGCCGATTTCGGTATGGTGGAGGTGTTCTACTATCCTTTTTTTGTTGCAACAACGGTTGCAAAGCACGATGATTACATTTAGGTGTTTTGCCTCTACCATGGCTGCAAAGCAAGGCCATTATATTCAAGTGTGAAAAAAATACGGTCTGTTAGGTGTGGAAAGTGCATTGTAAATAGTCTGAAGGCACACTGCACTGGTTTGATTAAGTGGCGTGGGCGCTAGCCTGCACCAAAATGAGCGACAGGAAGCTCTGGTTCCGTGCACTATATCCATTACATTCGAACAACAAAACCCTCGTATAAAGAAAAAGATTCATCAATGCTTGATGCATGTATGCAGACAGCACACGCGGTCCTCGGTGGGACAAAGAGTTGTAGCTTGGCGTCTCCCCGCTTTGCGCCTTTTTTCTCTGCATTCGGCGCTGTGCTAACTGCCACAGGACGTAGACTGTAGGGCTCCACTGTATTATTAATCTTAATTTTCAAATCGCAAGAGTCGATTGAACTTTGGTGTAAAACTAAATGAACAGGGGCCGTAACCATGCGCACCATTTTGCCAGCCTCCACTGACCCAGCGGTTGGCCTTTGAGACCATTTAGGAAATTCCAAACTTCCACTAAGTGTATTTTTGAGTTTCTCAATTGATGACTCAAAGCTGCTTGCTCGTGACCGGCCGAATCGACATAATCCTAGAAATGCACAGTCTCCCTAATTGTCAGCACTGCAGTGTAGCCAAGAAATTTCCCTCAGGGGCATATAATTCAAAATAGAACGATTGACAATCAGGCCCTGCGTCCTCTGCAGATATGCGGGGGGGTTAGGTGCTCTCAAGAGGCATTGAAGCTGAATCCACAACACTTGCATGCAGGGAGGAAAACGCCAAGGAGGAGACAACTGTAACATTTTTGAAGTTGGACTTAGAATTATGATGCTTGGACCCTTTTAGTGTATAAACGTGTCTTAAGTTGGTCGTATTGGGTACGGACCAGTGCAGCTAAGATGGGCGGAACACACCATACCAAAGCTGGGCTTCGCTTACTACGTGGCCAGTATAAGCTGCCGGCCCACTGCCCGCCCCAGGCTGGGCTGCAAAACCCCTCGGGCCTAGCCACCCTTAGAGCTCTGTTCTTTTAAACACTTTATTGATTTTGTACTTACTGAGTTTGCTAAAGTCGACTAACACGCTCTCTCAAGGCCTTTTCCTTGCTTAAATATGGTGCGTCTCACTACAGGTACTGTTTCTTTTATTAGCAAACCTCGGAAAAGTAGCACAGCTGATATAGTGAATAGCTGACTATTCTTGTCTTGACTTTTACTGTAAAATGCAGTACGGAGGAGAGCAAACGTAGGTTGGCAACCTGCTTTGCTAGGCTCAAGGTTGTTACAACAGAGCTCCAGAGAGTACGGCATTTCCGTACTCGTTGTCCTACATGCTTTGCATGGATAAAATGCACTTCTACTAATTCGCGTTCATTTCCATTTGAGTAAAAAAACATGACAAGCTAAACATATCGCCACATTTCGGTGTGAGACTGGGACTAAACAGCGACTATGAAAGAACTACCTGCAAAACCAGGCCGTGTACTGTTTTGCAGCAGCAGGGCAAGTCGGGGAACCGTTTGTGCCTCTGGCATGAAGCTAGGTGTAGGAACCCTTCTTTCCACGTTCGTTTAACAGGAGCTGAGCGTTGCATGATGGTCCTTTCTGTTCGCAAGAGATTGGCCAGCATAAGCAGTGTGCTTCCTGACTAGTTGCCCCAGAGATTAAGGAACTCTCGTGGAACGTCATAATCACTGCGCTTTTTCTCAGGCATCTGTCGAGATGTGCAATTTGACGGCCTGTGGTTCGTTGCGATGCTGTCTTCAACGTTTAACGAACCCGTCTTGACAGGAGTACCACGACGCGTAATACGTATGTAATTGTGCCCTCAGAATTAATGTTTATATATTGTAAATAAGCATATATAATTTTTTGTTTATAGGACTTCTTCCCCTACGATTAAAAGAGCTCTTCAGGAGTTTCTCGGTGAAGCGCAGTACATCGATACTTTAAGCTAGCTACTGTACATCGAACCGACTATGGGAATAGAACGTACTCCGGGCAGAGGAACAGTGCATTGCTCTGTTATGTAGTAAAGACAGCAACCTCAACAGCGGGGGCGAAACTCTTTGATGCTAGACTTCTGCGCTCAGCCTGCTGGTCTCCCGTGCTGTCAGTTTCCTTGCGTCTTGTAGGAGCCATGTGCTACGAATTGTGCCACAGCAACGATCCACTTTTGCCTCTTTTAAGAGGAGAAGAGTCATTACAGCACCAAATCACGCAGGCTGAGCTGCCCAGACTGACAGGAACGTCTGCTTTTTGCAGCATGTAGCCGGGCCATACATAAGCAAGATGGCCGCTGCACACTGCATTGTTTGCGAACTAATTTGTGCCACCGGAGCCAAATCACCTCTTTATGGAGTTGAAGGGCAACTATTAGATCCGTTGACAAGATAAGTTGAATTTCAGTGCAAAGTCTATAGTGGAAAGCCGTGGTCCACCAGCGACGCGCACGTAGGAAGGCAGCTGCAATTGTTATGGATGGGTTGTTCGTCGAAATGGCTCGTAATAAACCCTTTTATTGCGTTTGGAATTCTATAACAAACACATAAAAACACAACAGAGAACACCGCTCAACGTTGTTGCTTCAACAAAATGTCTGGTCAGCCCTAGTGGCCTCTGGCTGGTCGGACCATGACTCGAGGTTCTCATGACTAACGCGAACGCCGTCCGTTTGAGCATTTTACCAGGGGCTCTGGCAAATGTAAAGTTACTCGTAATCATTGAATATCCTAGCTGTTTTCGCCTCTTCTTACCGGCAGAACGAACCAAGAACGCGCCGTGCTGCCGTGGCTCTGCGGCAGCTGATGAGCTGACTCACATTCCGGGGCTTGCTGGGCTCTCGGGGCGTCTATGAAACCACAAGGCGTTCTTTGGAGTCATTTGTAGGGATTTGGAGAGCTTTATTCGGCTGGTCCAGGTTAGATGGACTGGGGGCGGGGGTCATGGCTGCTCCCTAGTCTCGATCCTCTGTTGCAAGGTTCATCTCCGTAACATAGTGTTGATTTGAGGTTTAATTTGGCTTTTAAGCAGCCCTTGTATAGATCGGCTAACTCTGCAGGCTAGCCGCATACTGTGGCCAACAGAGCTGGTCACGGCTCCGCAACTCTCCTCGAGGGGCCCCCCAAAGTACAGCATCTGCATCTACAGCTTTCATGCCCAACCCCTGGCAGGATTTATTAGGAAGGCACACAATCTGAATAAGCAGGCAACTGGGTGTTCTAAAGCGAACTCGGCAGCAGACGTGAGGTCCGGAGCGCCTGCAACATCAACTGAATTTACCGCCGGCAACAACGAAGGGTAACAGCCGCTGTGCTGCTAGAGAGAAGCGGCACTTCACCGCCGCATCTCTCGTTACGATGCTTGCGGGCTGCTCGGACACACAGCTTAATCAGGTGTGGTTCACAACAGCAGCATTTGCAGAAGCTTCACCCGTGAGGACTGGCGCCCATGCATTTTCACACCACCTCCGACTTCAGCAGAGTTCTCGCCGTGTTTCAGGATTTCCTCAGGTTTTGTGTTATATTGGCACGCATCTACGAATAAAGGGTGGAGGGCTGCAGCTTCATTTGCATGCTTAGTTCTTGCATGCTGCGCTTTTAGGACCCTCAGTTTCGCCATTAGTGGAAATGGGGAACCAGTGCTGCGCCGGGCGGGACGTAAGTTTGGCCTGTAGGACGTTTGACTCATTTGATGAGTAGTTCGTATCAGCACTGAAATGTTCGGGCTTTGCGTCGTATTAGTTAGCAACAGCCAAGCCATCGACTGTGCTTGCCCTGCAGACCGCTTACAAACGGAAGGCTCAGGAGAATGAGTATGGTGGAAAGCTGAAAAACATGCTTTCCTTTGGAACAGGTGCGCGGCCTTTTGTTGAGCCAGATCATTTTCAGGCCACACGGCGTTGTCTTTGTGCGCGTTTTGCACCGCCGGCAGACAGTCTTGAGTAAAGATGACTAGGCGTATGGTGTTGGTTGCGTTTGTGCTCTGTTCGTCTGTCAGTGGGGGATGACGTTGTTCGGTTTGATAGAGCGTACGACAACAGCGACATTGCCGAATTCGTGCGCCTTTGCGATTCCACTTGTGAGGTAAGTGAACATGATTAACAGAAGGCATTTTTAGGGAGGCCTGTGATCCGGTGGTACTAGTTAACGATTTTGAGGTGCCAGCTTGAGTGGAATTACATAAACAGTGCGTATTTTTCTGTGTAGTTAGGGGCGTTACAGACGCAAAAGCATTGGGTAGTGAGCGGTTCGGCTACAGGCAAAAGTCTCACCATGGGGCGTAATACATGCTTTGAACGAATGCCTTCCCCTTGTATTGCTGAGGCGCACACAAACTGTTAGCGAGCTCAGGTATTTTGTGTCGATTGCAGATAGAGAAGCTGGAGGAACGAATGCATCCATGGGCAGCTGACCCCGAAACGATTGGGGCACTTGCTGCGACTCAGCTCGCCATATTTGCTTCACGCGAACGTGAGGGAAAGAAATTATGCCCCCTTTTTGGGTTCCCAAGCAGCTCTAAACATGCTCATTGCACTTCCAGAAGGGGTATCATACATGGAGCTTCGCACCAGTTTTCATGGTTTGTATGTACGAAGTGTCCCTCGCCTGCTCGCAGAGGAGCCGCACCTTAAGGATGAAATTAGAGAGGCTGGTGGCATAGAGGTCCTGGTAAAACTTTTGGCTTCTAAGGTCAGTCTCAGAATAGTTGCAGGGATTTTCAGCATGCGTGGCTCAGACCAATGGCATACTTGAGTACATCCATGGTGTAATGGGTTGTACACGCTTTAATTTTAGATGCGCCCGATCTCTGTAATATTAACGGCCCTACGGAACCACAGCATACGCTTCTGTACAGGAACTTGACCGGAAACACTCGGCAGTTGTCGCGCTTTCCTTCCTATCTGTCGACAGTAAGCCATTCGAACGAAGATTCAGGAACATCAGGGATGTGTGGGCTGTTCCTGTGTTTGCTACCTTGCCAACAAACTCTTATCGGGGCATACAAGAAGCTGAATAGGGGGTCTTCTTCGTGCTTGCGCTGTGACGACTTTCAGACAGGGAAAATTGTATTGCGATGTTCAATGCGGGAGCTATACCCTATCTGATCCAAGGCATGAAATCCGACATCGAAGGCATGCGAGCAGCTTGCGCGCAGACAGCTCGCAATATCTACGTCCTTGGTACAGAACTACACTTTGCGAGAGACACGTCATGGCCCTGTTATTTGTAGTGAACCTTGTGAAGCAGTGCTGTGACCACACGGACGGAAGGGCTGTTAGAGGTTTCTTATGTGGCAGCTTTTCTGCTTTCGTTTCGTTTCCACTTGCAGACGATAAGTATCGTCGGGCGTTCATGAAAGGAGGCGGCATAGCGCAGCTCGTGCGCTTCCTGGATGTGTAAGAACTAGCTTCACTGTGTCACATCATTAAAGCATCAAGCACCTTTGGGTTCTTTCAGAACATCTATGTGTCAGCTCACGGGACTCTGCTGCTGGAAAGAACAGCTGATCAGCGTACGGCAGAGTGATGGGCCAGTCCAGGTAACTTTCACATTTGAACCCGTGGCATTTGCTCAGCTCCCCAGACGCAACAAACGTCTACACGCAACTGGAGGCTATCTACCATCTGGAGGATTTGATAGGCGATGAGAATGAAGAACGCCCCGAGTTTGTGCAAGGAGTGAAGGCAGCAGGGGCAATACCAAAACTCAAAAAACTGCAGCAGGTGAGATAGCAGATATTGGGGTTCTAGACTGATGTGGGCGTTGTCGTTCCTATGCCAGCCTGCACAGTGTCAGCAGGAGTTCACTCAGCAATAGCAGTTTCTTTGCAAGCTTGCACGGTCACTATCCCGGTCACTATCCTGTAGGCTAGGCATATGGAGCGTTTCAGCATACGGAGAGTCTCAGCAGCCACACATGTGCATGGCCTGTGTACGCCAGCTGAAGTTTTTTTCTTTCTGGTATCTGCAGCACCGAGACAAGGACATAGCGGACGCCGCAAGCTTGCTGTTAGTACGCCTAGCAGACTAACTGTCTCCAGAGCATGGTGGTGGAGCTCATTCTCATGCAGCCATATTCCGCTGTTTTGATAGCCGTAGGACGTTGCTGCACTTCGCGCAGCACCGCCCATTCACGCAGGTGCCTAAGAAGTCCACTCAGCTCGGACTGTCAGCTGTTTGGCATTTAGTCGTCTGGCGGCCCAGCCAGCAGCACTTTTCCCGTCGGTGAAGTCGGTGTGCCGGGTGCTTTTGCCTTGGGAGCCGCTGTACAGTGGTGATTCCTGGCACTGCACAACCACGAATTTGGTCTGCACCGCTCGCGTGCACATACACTAAGGAGCAAGGAACAGCCTCTTGGACTCAGAACCCCCTACATCTTTCTCTTCCTTCACATGCTTGCTTCTGCAGTCGAGGCATTGTAGTTGAAACATCTGTAGCCTTCAACTGTTTTTTCTCGGTGACGTACGTACTGTGTGTACCCGCCCACCCCGCTCCCCAGACACACCAGGCAGTGAGTGTGGGGCAGGGCGAGTAGTCTACCGCAGCCTACTAGACGCGCACAGGAAAGAACGCCATCTTAGCCGTGGCAAAACGCGACCTAGTCAATCCTATCTGCGCAGCATGGTCCAGCGTGTGGCAGCAATGCACCCGTACCACGCCAGGTTCCTTACTCTTCAGTGCTCCGCACTTGTGAGTCAAGGGATATAAATGATGAACCTAAGCATCGGTGCTAAAACAGTTAATTCAACAAAAACTACCTACACGTTGACTTCAGTTGATGAAGCCCTCCCACGAGGATGCTAACAAAAGGGATGCGACTCTCAAGAGTACACACCTCCCTCCCCGCTTTCCAACGGTCGGCACGCCACCCCGCATGCCCGTCTACTCTACGTTATGAACAAACATGAGTGAATCGATGCAGCTCTGGCCTGTCTGTCTCACGAAGGGCTGCTCCACCCGTGCCCCGACAGCTGACAAACGAGTGGCTTTGACAAAGAGAAGACGCCAGGCCTACGGAGAAGCTATAACAACAGCATTCACAGGCGCTGGCGGATGACACTTGCTCACCCTCTCCATGAACTTCGGTCTGGCCTTGACCTCTTACGCACCTGCCACTTTGCCGGCGGGGATTCCAGAGCTACCGATACGCCATAGACGCCTAATACACTTCCCCGTTAATTTCACAGAATAAACACCTTAAGCCAGCGCTTCGGCTGCAGCTGCTACATCTGTCGCATCTGCTCAGCTTGTTGCCGATTAGCTGCCGCTAACTGCCCGATGAATTCGACATGGAACTCAAGAAGGACTGATAGTACTGTGTGTACAACTGCGCCAGCACTTGGGGGTCAACAGAGGCCCCTCTCTGTGCTGCTTGCTGCTGCAGCAGCTGCATCACGTACGCAGGAACAGGCTCTTGCTGCTGTTGCTGCTGCGGTGGATACATATTGTACCCCTGCTGATTCTGTTGCTGATAAGCTGGCGGCTGTCCCGCACCATAGTCAGTGGCCCCAACCTGCTGAAATGGGGCGCCACTCGAGTAAGGCATTCCATTCCCTCCTGGCTGCTGCTGCTGCATGGAGCTGGGGGAGAAGCTATTGCAAGCTTGCTGCTGCTGCGGGGGGCCCATACCCCCTCCCCTGGGGGCCCCGTACTGGCCCTCCCGTTGACTGTTGAAGGGGAGAGAGTGACCCTCCCGGAATGCAGCATCTCCTTGGCCCTCCCCACCACGGGGTCCACAATAACCTTCATGACTGGGCATGACGGGGCCCCTGGAAGGCCTTCCGTGGTAGCCCCAGTCACAGGGCCCCTCTCCACGGGAATCCCCCAGAGGGGCCCCGCCGCTCCAATCCGAGCTGTAGCTGCCTTCAAAGCCAGGCTTGGGGCGCTTGGAGGGCCTCTGGCCTTCGAGACCTCCCTGGCCCCACCCTCCGGATGGCCCTCCTGCTGGTCTGTTCTCCCAGCTGCCCCCTCCCCAAGGGCCTCGGCCCGCACTATCTTTCGCCTGTTGGTACGAAGGCGAGCCGCCTCCAAACGCGGCTCGCTCGCTGGGGGAGGCCCCACCGAAGCCCCACCCTTTAGAAGCTGAGGAAGCCCAGGGGCCCCCTGAAGGCAACGCAGCAGGCGACTTCTGCTTAACTGCATCATAAAAATCTCGTGGGGGCCCTTGCCGCGAGGAGTTCGGACCGCCCCTGTCTTCGAAAGGCCGGTAAGCCTCCTGAGGGGGCCCCCTGCCGCCCTCCATTTCTCCCCCACCCCTGGGGAATCGCCCCGGGGGGCCCTCAGGGCCAGCGCCCTTCCAGGGGCCCGAAGCTTGCGGTGGAGGGGGCGGGGGGGGAGGGGGGCCCCCACCCCACTGGTTTCCCCCCATGAACGGCGGCGGGGGGCCCCCCCGCACATGTTTCCGGCCAAATTCGTCCATCCTGTTGCCACCCATTCTGCCATTACTACGGGCAAAGCCCCCGAAGGGCACATTCTCCTGAGATCCCTTGCCGGGACCACCCTGTCCTCCAAAACCTAAGACATGTGGTGGGGGGAGGGGCCCCCCAAAGCCTGGGACGGGGAAGGGGGGCATCCCAGGCATCGGGAAAGCAGGAGGCACTCTCTTAGGTCTGGGCGGATGCTGAATAGACCAACTGACGAAAGCTGCATCCAACTCCTTTCCCCTCGCCAACAGATACGGCAAGAAGTCCAGAGTGAAGGCCTGGAGAGGCTGACGCCGAAGAGAAACCAACTCCGTGGTCAGCAAAGTCTCAAAGGAAAATGGATCAGCAACCTGGACATAAAGCACATAGTGAAACTCCAAGGGCTTCTTTGGGCTGCTGCCGCTGCTGCTGCTGTTGTCGCCTTCTTTCTTCTCTTCCGCCATCTGCTGCTGCTCCTGCTGCTGCTCCTGCTGCTGTTCCTGCTGCTGCTGCTCCTCCGCCTCCGGCTGCTCCTCCCGCTGATCCTGCTGCTGCTCTTCTTGCTGCTGTTCTGCATCTTGTTTCTGTCCAGGCGCCTTCGAGGAAACGCCCACTCTCCTCTTCTTCTTGAAACCTTTTCTGATGGCCTGCGGGTACTTCAGGTGTTCATTCACGTTGTCCGTGACCAACACTCTGTAGTCGCAGATGCGCACATTGGGCCGGAGGTCCATTAAGTACACAAGCAGTTCTTCGGGGGCAAGCAGCGCATTTGAAAGAGGACCAAATAGCACTATGCCGTTGTTTGGCATGGTTTCTGGAACCTCAGGAAGCTGCTTCAGTTCTTCTTCCGTTAAGGCCACCTCCGGGGTGTCCACTGCGGCTGCTGCTGCTGCTTCTCCCGCTGCTTCTTCCTTCTTCATAGCAGTTTCCTTCTTCGCCTCAACACCCTCCGCCTCTGCCGCCATTGGCCCACTCCCTTCACTCTTCAGTCCCTCCTCCTTCACTTCCTGCTTCTGCTGCTGCTGCTGCTGCTGCTGCTGCTGCTGTTTCTGGGGAGGCTGTTTCGCCCTGATGAGTCTTTGTCTCTCAGATTCCCTGTACGACACGAGGCTCTTTCTGAAGCCCTCCATAATCGGCATGGTCCGTTCCGTGTTGGCAATTGTTGCTGCTTCTCCCACAGCTCTAGCTGAAGCCACACGAATGAGACAACTGCCCTTCTGGAGGTCAACTCCATCCGCCGCGGCATTCTCTGCAAAGACGGGGTCCAGCTCGGGAGCCACGAGCGCCGCCCTCAGCCGCTCCAAATTGCCATCTTTTTCCAGCTGCTGCAGCGCCGCGTGGATCTCTTCACGCGGGATCGCATGCCCTCTGGCAGCAGCAAACACACGCTGCGCCTCTGCAGCAGACAGCCCCAGCAGCGCCATTAGCAGCGCACACACCATGTAGCCTGTCCTGTTCAGTCCGTGAGTGCAGTGGGTGACAACTGTCAACCTCCAAGGACACGTGCATGCGCTGCTCCCCGGTCCCCGGCCTGCTGCTTCTCCAGGGGGCCCCTTGGGGGCCCCCGAGTTGCATGAGGCGCAGTCGGCTGCCGCTGCCCACTGCTCAGCTGTACGTACACCTTGCATTGTCAGCATGGCCAGCAACTTGAAATACAGCAGCACACTCTCCTCCGTGGGAACTTCCCCCCCGCCTTGGCTCTTGTGCCAGAACACACTAATTCCGTCTCGCCTCAGCAGCTGGGGCTCATAGTGCCTTTCTGTCAAGCACAGATTGACTACTGAAAGAATGCGCATGCGCCCTTCGTCTATGAGACACTCGACGCCGTACGATGGGGGTCGCCGAGCGGGAGTCTGCTGCTGCTCCTTTCCCTCTTGACTGTTGCTTTGCTGCTGCGTGTCCTCCTGCTTGTCGTTCGCTCCCGCATTGGTCTGGTCCGCAGCAGGTGCTGCTGCTGCTGCTCTCTGCTGCTGCGCTGCAGCAGCCAAGCGAGAGCCTCTTCGGCCCAACCCTGCTCGGCGGCGCTGCGCGCCGTCAAACTGCTCCTGCAGGCCTATGGGGGAGAAGGGGCGGCAGCGGAAGAGCTGAGGGGCGAAAGCAGTAGAAAGGAAAGTCTTGCAAGGCAGAACGAGTAGTTTGTCGACCATGAGAGGGTTTGGGGAAACGAAAGGCGCGGAAGCAACTCCGTCATTCTCGGGTTCCTCGCATTGCTGCTGCTGCTGCTTCGGATCCTCCCCAGCCTGGGCTTCCTTCGGCTCCGCCGCAGGAAGCGCGCCGCTCTCCTTCTTCTCCGCAGTATCTCTGATGTCCACAGCAGCGAAAAAATCTGAATAAGTTGACCACTTTTCAGGTAGAGGCCCCCCAGCCTCCCGCCTGCAGGTGCAGCCCACTGTGTCGTGCAGCCAGCTGCAAAATGGGGAACTCCGCCACGGGCCGCCACAAGTCCCGTTGTTCGAAGTTCGGGGAAAGTACTCTAGTATGGAGGAAGGCTCCTCCACTGCGCTGTGCTGCCGCTTGGCTGGCGAGTGCCGCAATTCAGGATTTGCACTGCGCTTCGCTGGGGCCCCTTCCTCCTGCTTTTCTGCTGGTGCTTTCTCGCACGGGGGCTTCTCTTCTTGTTCTGGATGCT